ACATCAATGGCTAGAGACATTGTCAGATATGACCCAGTCGCGCCCTCAATGGCACTCATGCATTCAAGCTATTGCCTTCAATGCATAGCTCATTTTCCATTCCCCACTTGACAGCCCACTGACAGTGCTGGATTTATGCACCAACTTATCAGCTCGCGCGTGCAATGCGCAGCTACCTAACCCCCCAATCATCGGTGAACGAAACTGCGGCAGCTACAACCACTGTACGACGAGTACGCGGTTCTTACAGCTGACAATGATGATGATGATGATGATAAGACATCATTAGGGCAGCTACCAAAAGAAATTTAGGAATCTCGCTTTCTTCTAACATGTCCTTCTCACTTCGCCATAGGAAATCAGCTCAAAAGGCCTTCGCAACTCTACGGATGATTAAGCACACATTTTCCCGTACTACTCGCACGGACTTCCAAATACTCTGAGAGGCCTAAGTCAGACCGCTTCTTGAACATGACAACAAAGTTGTCTTCTCAGGGCGCAAGAGGGATGTAACCCTCATTGAGCGTGTCCAACGAGCTGCTACGAAAATGGTTGCCGGCCTAAAATCCGTGGACTATGAAACGCGTCCCGTGGTGCTTGACCTACTTCTCCTGGTCCCCAGAGGGGACTTAGTAAATACTTATACCCTGTTTGAAAAAGTTGTCGCCAACAGATTTTTCAACGTTGATCGACCTAACACACAGTGGGGACATGGTATGATTTCCAAGCTCAGAACACAATTTTATCCGGAAATTTTTCTCATTTCGGCTAAATGTTGCGTAGAGTATCCTTTCTCCGACGGTTGCCCACAACACATCTAGTACCCATTTCAAAGCACTATTAGGCGCTTTTATATGCGAATCCTCGAGTTGGCAAGCTTACTGTCCCGGACTGAGAACTCATAGAGCAGTGCTACACCTTTTCTTCGCTTGTGCCTTTCAGGCAAACAGCAGTCGCTGAACGACAAGAACAACGCCGACACGGAAAACTTGGACGAAAGCCTCGACCTGTGTACCAACCCATGAATCCATGAAAAATCTCTAGCCACAAGCAAGTTCCGTCATAAAGCAGAGAAACACTCACCCAAAACTTCAGACCACAGAGAGACAGTATTTAATTCATGTTGAGCTACAACACGACCTCAATTCAGTAAAGAGCATCATCTGCTTTCCCAACCGATGTGGAGGAACTAGTACAACGGTTCGAATAGCGCGTTCTCTGAGCGGAAGGATCCATGCAAGAGCCGTGTCCCATCTCTGCCGCGTCTACATCGTTTGTTGTGCTTCGATTAGCTATCGTTCCAGCAGATAATCACTCTCCGCGGTGACCGTTGTCAGTTCCTAAACGTGGCGAAAAACTTGAAGGCCGCGTTTTCTTTCAGTTTACACAACTTAACCCTGGTCATAGAATTTGTGCAGACACGCATATCATTCAACTTCCTTCGGCGACACGCCGGTTAATTCGGGGTGCCGCGAGAGGAGCCAAACACCAAGTGCCGACTGTACGCATGTGCCGCGAGCAGCGGTCCGAACGTAAATAAGCCGGGCTCGGATTGGTCAGCGTATGGGCCAACCAGAACGCCGCGCTATTTTCATGGATCCACGGATTGATACACGGGACCATTGGTGGCACAACGCTCCTAGCTGCAAAACATTTGTGAATAAACCGAAACTTTTTGTGCCAAAATGTTGCACTTTGTGGCGTTTTTTCTCGGACCAAAATTCACCCTGCTGCACTCTCGAAGCTCACCAAATTTCACTGAAGTAATCATACCCCTGGTGGGAAAACGTCTGATGGAATACCTTTCTAGCACTTCTGAAACCCCGAGATGCCTGTGTGGGCCTCAAAGTTTTACATTCGCACTCCGAAATCAATTGCCTGTCTCTTTTAGTCCGTTGAGGGACACGTCATGGTTCCCGAAAATCCATTTCTATTTTGCGAATACTGCGCGCCGCATGATTGCTGCTTCCGGGCGCCCAGTATTGGCACAATTGCATTGAATTTTCGGATGCTACGACGTGTTCCCGGTGGACTAAAAGATACAGGAAGTTGACTTCAGACTAGAAGTCCGAACGTTTGGGCTCCAGCTAGACATCCCGGGGCCTCGACAATGCTAGGGAAGCATTCCACCAGACATTTCTGCCTGCCGTGATTGCTTCGATGCACAATGAAATTTGGTGGGCGTCAAAATTTTGAACGTGTATTAAAGTGATTTTTGGTGTAAGCGCATGTGCAGCAAAAACGCAACATTTTGTCGCAAGAAAGTACGTTCCATTCGCAAAGGTTTTGCATCTAAGAGCATTGTGTGGCCGACGAGTCCCAGGCTTTCGCCGGAGTTTCCCGGGTCAGTTTTGTTCAGACTGTGTATTAATTCTAGAGTTATCTGCCGTCAGGTTTTTCACTTAACTTCATCCCCTTCGTTTTCGAATCACTTGTTCTTGCGACGGCACGGCGGGCTTTGTTAAATTTGATGGTACGATCGATGATTACGTCATGCTTGGGACTGCTGAAGCTGGCTAAAACTTGAGGCCACGATCGACCATAGTAACACTTCGATCTCAGTGTAAGACCACCCTAACTCGGCTGCTTGTCTGCCGAAACCGAAGCAGATCGACCAGAACTATAAACATTTGGCAATGATAATGATAGTGATAATTTTTATCTCCCTACTTGTTGGTGGCATATCGTCAGGTGTGATAACACTGTTACAGTCAGCATAAAAGCATGACCGGCGGGAATTGTGGATGCAGGGGGCTAGAAACAGGATAGCATCATTGGGGGTGGGCATTAAACAAAGTGGGTGGGTTCATCACTAATCCGGCACGGGCAGAAGAGCACAGTTACCATGCGGTATTGGAGAGAATATCGAGCCAGATGGAATCGTTAAGATGGAATTAAAGTTGCACTTAACGCAATGGAACGAACGAAAGAAAGCAAAATTCTGGCCGCAAAGGGGACTGGTTCCGGTTGGCAGGAGATTTTTGATCACGGGTGAGTTAAGGAGAAAGGAAGAAAGGGTGTAAAGACTAATAAGCACGATGGGAGTGTAAAATGGTATGAATGTGGGAATGTGGGCAACGTAGGAACAGCACATGACAGGACAAAACAAACCATAGGAATTGACGATCAAAGCCAATGATGGCCTGGACTCGCACCGAAAAAAACAGGTTTAGCTTCCACTGTGGCTCTCAGTCAACGGTGAGTAAGGATATGCTAGCAGAGCTATACAGGTACATGATTGTTGCGCCGCTTGATCAAAGTACCTTCATCCATAACTTGAAGTAAAAATATGCATTTGTGGAAGACTCCGGGGATAGCAGGTGCATAACCAAGGCTTGAGGTCGTTTAACTTTTTGGTTAACACAACTTGAGGCTTCAGGTAAGCTTCAGGTGCATTTGAACAGGATCTTTCAGCTTGCAGCGGTGCTGTTAAACCTGGAGTCCATAGGTTTTTGGAAAAATATGGCAGGATTCACATTTTCCGGCTCTGAGAACACGCAAAGGTTTCCAATAGTGCCCGAAGCCTCGAAGCCTTTATAGAATGAAGTTGAAGTGATAAAAGGTATGTATATGCTGAACCCCTTCATCAAATCAAAGTAAACGTCGCCTTACCTGCTCCAGAGTTACTGATTGCCCGTCCAGACAAAACGTCTGGCGGTTGCGCGAGATTTTAAATAGAGTTTTACAAAGGCATTTTCGGGTGGAAATGATACCTCTAAGTTTCAAATGGATAACGTTCCACGTAACCACTCGCTCTTGCAGTTGCATTCTGATACTGCTAAGCAGACTAGGAAGAACAAATAGTCTGGATTGCATGGCTTGTCGCCTGGTGCGCACGGGCCGACTAGTTTCCTGGTCATCGGTCTGCCTTCCGAATATGACACTTCTTGACTGCTGGTCAGGTGGCTGTTGACCTCTTCGTCGAACTTGGCAATCGACTTGCAAACGTTTTCTAATCATGTGATGAGACATCATTTTCAGTGCGATTTCATCAACTGAGCGACCGATGAATCATCAGGAATATTTGATCAGGTTTACTTCAAGATTCTTGAATGCACTTTATTCTGATCCAGTAGCCTAAATGTTTTTCCTAGCGTAAATGTTCACGAACAACCTAGCCCGTAAACAGTAAGCCGGTTGAAAGGTATCCGTGGTTCCGACTACTCAAAGTTACATGTGTTAACTCAGCTGGGTGGCCATCATTTGGGTGCGCTGTTGGCCGGTTGGAAATTAGTAAAGTTATTTTGTGTTCTCACATGGAACTGTTGTTTTACCTCAACTTGTGTTGATCTGACCATGTTGCACAATAAACCAGTTGATATCCTTACGGCTTGCATTATACTGAAGGCTTCCAGGGACTTAGACCCGAAAATAGAACCCGTATGTAGAACAACCATGCTGGAGCTCAGTTCACGTTGAAAACGGTTAGTACATGGCGCATGTGATAAGTTAAGTTCTCCGAGATGACTCTCGCCAGGACCCTCGATGCAGCTTACAGTGACCGGACCAATAAAGTTGGCAAACCAAGCTGTTTACTCTAGCTCAAGCATTCAAAATAGGTTGGAGATGGCTTAGTTGATTAAAATACAAGAGCATGCTTTACCATCGGCTCCAAAAAAGAATGTGATTTTAAACAAGCAAGGAGAATGAAAGTGTTGACGGAATTACCAAAAGCCGTGTAATCCTGCAGCTTTTCATTCACTTGTCCACTACAGGTACATTCAGCCTAGAATTTGAGTCAAGTGCACACTCAAAGGAGTTTATCACAGCTGAGCCAGCTCTATGGGCTGAGGAGATGGGCATTTTAAACCTAATGGGACTTTTGGCAGTTTAGCCGATTCCCTGAACACAAGCTTAGTCCTGTTGCCCCGGTTTTTCGCTTGCCAGCCATCGATATAACTCGGCTCACGAATATGGCCTCATGTGTACACACTCCCCAATGCTTCAGTCTGACGGTCGCCTTCTTCCAAATGAAGTCAACAATCGATCGCAGTTTGGTTTTATTTGACAGTAGCCACCAGCTACATGCCTGCATTGCAGTTAGCCACTTCCAATTAGATTGGTTGCAACACTCTGGCTTTTTAGCAAGAAAATTTTGTGAATCAGCCTCCAGTAGCCAGGTATGCGTACATACATTCGAAAATGAGGTGAATCGCATGCTTTCGTTCGACCCGACTCCCGTCATTATTGTCCCTGCTGTTTCAGCCTGAATGAAGTCCAGAAAAATACCTAGGGGAAATGTACTGGTTTGGTCATGAACAAAACTATATTCCGGAACCAAATGCTTCC